TGAGAATATTAGAATAATTATTCATATAATGTTTTTCAAAAAATATTACATTTATTTATAGTGTATTCTATGGGTTTTAGACAAATTATTTGTTGAATAAAACTTCAATAAACACATATGTTTGCATGTGTGTATATGCATCTTTGCCTATGTATATATTATTTGAATGTAAGCAGATCAGATATATAATATCCTCATTCCATTGTGTGGTGCAGGCGAACACTGACCTTTTCCTTTCCTGTCTGCAGCATTAGTCTATAATGTTTTCTGGTGTACGTTAGCCGTTTTTCCTTCAAAATCAAGTTGGAAATTATTTTAAATTATTATTTTTAGGTCTATTTATGAATGGGCCCCTAATAGCCCTGGCCCCCAATGCTTTGCAGTGGCTGCACTGCCCGTAGCTACGCCACTGGTATGGACTCTCACGCACCACTCACCGCCAAATCCTGCATCCGCCCCAGAGGGTGCACTGTATTGGGAGGTCTTCTGTTGCAGACAAAAATTATTTTCTATTCAATAAGAGATTCTTTCTTCTAAGTATATTATATATAACACGTATTACATATGTTACATATATAACATACATTCCATTGTAAAAAAATATACAATATAAACTATATATATACTATAATCATCAAAGAAAGGTAAATACAGTGTTCGAGTAAAGGACATGATATTGGAACACTGTATTTACCGTTCTCTGCTGATTTATATTTAATTTAATAGTGTTAACGACTATCAAAGAAAGGTAAATACAGTGTTCAAATAAAGGACATAATAATACATCGCGTAGCATAGTTCTCAACGAATGTAGTCCTGTTAATAAATGAATAAAGAAATTGTGTAATAAAATGCCTCTGGCGGGGCTCGAACCTGCGACCTCTCGCTGTAAAGGCGAGTGTCACAACCATTAGACCACGGAGGCTTCATGGTTGAACAGATTCAAATACCACCAGATACACTCCATTACACAATAGGTACGGCTAGAAACAATATAGTTGCATATAATATAAATCAAGATAGCCGTTAACACTGTTAAATACAGTGTTCGAATATATATATATATATATATATATATATATATATATATTGTGTACAATATATATTACTGTATACCGTATATCCCGCAAAAAGTACGCATAATACTCTATTGTTTATATTCTTGAGGCGAAGTCTGTGTACATAATAATACAAAGGCCTATCTATTTATGAGCCATATTCACATACACATTAAAAGAAAATCATGTCATACATATATGTTATTTAATGTTCATTTCACATAATATTTATATACATCATGTTATATATATCCATGTGTACATAGTAATCTCATACATATTCAAATTTATACATAACTATTTCATACATATTCATGTCTACATAATCACCAGCGTATTCATACTGTACATAATAATCTCATCTATATTCAAATTTATAAATCATTTTCATACACATTTAAGTATACAATTTTGTCGAACATACTTTACTAGTAATAACACAATAAAAAAAAAATTAGTTTTATTTCATACATATCCATTAGGCCTATTTATAATTATTTAGTTAAAATATTTGCAAAAAAATTTGAAATATAAAGAGATTATAGAGTAAGACTTTTTACATGTGGTGAAAATATATATTTATATATCCGTAAGTACTTTTGACATTTATTTTAGCACCATTAATATTTATCTTTAATACTAATATTTTACAAAAAGCTAATAATTATATATTTTTTTTCTCTGAATACAAAAGTTATCGGTAGCCTCTTCTAGTTGTTGATAAAATGAACACAAACTTCTGAATAGCAATGACGATTTATATTTAACTCTTGCATGTAACTAAGTAATTGTAATTACATAAAATATAACATTTTTATTATGATTATATATTACGTCAAACTCAAGATTTGCTTGTTTTGATACTCAATAATTCCAAACAATAAGAATTAGATGATGACAGTGGACAAGAGGGAGGAGTTGATGGGGGTGGGGAGTTTAGGAGGAGGGGATAGATACCTAAGTGAGAAGGTGCTAGCTTGTAAAATAAGGTAATGGATATTTTAACTACTTGAGTGTAATGTTTTTGTTATCAAATTCCCAGTGGGGGAGGGGGTGGGGAAGACATTTTTGGCACCATTCCCTCTCATAGATACACGACTGGATGGTTTAAGGGTGGTTATCAAACTTTTTGGCTGATGACTCAAACAAAAGTTTAGGCGATTTGCTGTGATCCACTTCTTGGGACGTTCAATACAGATTTGTATAATGGGTCATTAACAAAATTATTGATGTACTTATACTGCACTCTCTTTACTACAGCAAAATTTAGCATGTTATAAAAATCAATTAAAAATCCTAAAGAATCATGCGACCTTCTAATTTATTTGGCAACCCAATTTCGGCTTTACCCTTGTCGTTAACCTATAATACAGACAGAAAGTAATTCAGCCTGATGTTTGGCAGCTTGAAATATTTTTTAATTGAATAGCAGCCTTACAATGTTCCGTTTATACCAGTATATAATAATTGTAAAACAAAAATGCTGTATACAACATTCTTATAAAATGTAACTGTAGAACAATATACACAGAGGGTGCTATATATAGGCAGTTGTTGTATTCATGACGGTGAGACTCTTTCTTGGACATTGCTGACCAGTGCCCTTTGCATATTGTCCATCACTCCGAGAGTTTTTACCATGCTGTTGAAAACCTGCACTGCTCCGTCACTGAAAGACAAGAGAAATCAATTTTTTTACTGGATTTTGAGAAAGGGTGAATCCAAATTATGGTGAAGGTGTCCTCGGTATCTACATTTTATAGTTGTGTTTCTGTCCCCCTGGGGGTATAAAAGCCCTTACTCTTCCTGGTATTAACACTTTTCAGTGCCTCCCTGTCAGTCAAGCGGACAAATAAAAAAGAGGAAGGAGGGAAAAAAAAAGGATTGCACCCACGAGTTCAGTGGCGATCCAGCAGTGGGTGAAAGGAGAGCTCGATTATTTACCACTTATTTACACCAACCATGGTGGGGCTGAGGTGGGCGTGGTGGCGTGAACTTCATTTTGTGCTCCCCCGTCAGAAGTTCTCTGGATCTGCCCCTGCTTTAAATGTATACGTCAACAGTACACACCTGAATTTCGATGATAAATATTTTGTAAGATAAACAATGTTAGGGTATATACAGTATTACATTTTAAACTTACTTCATCAAAAAACTGATAGTTGCATCTGTTGAATATTGGAGTAAAAACAGCACAGTGCGCAAGCCATGTTGACTTACATTCTCAATAGGTGACTGTCTCAGTGAAAGAAGTAAAATAAAAATTAATATAAAAAAATAATAAGTAAAATATTGTTACTATATTACATTTGTGTGGATATGTAAGGAAACCATAATAGGGAATGCTGTACACATAATTTTTCCTTATGAACATTTATCTGTGTCAGTTGAACAGTGATTTGATTTTAGGACTTTTAAATCAAACATCAATTCTGAGGTAGGAATTAAAATTTGTTGCAGGATCGAAAAGTCTTTTAAATCATAATTCTTCGTATTAGATAATTGGGTATAGGGCACTGGAATTTTTTTAAAAAAAGGTATGGAACTGAATATCCTAGTGATCAACCTTTTTGTCCACTCCCTGGGACGATGTTTTCACCCAACTAACTCCAAGAGTATAACAAAAACCATTGCATTAACCCGAGTTATTTATTTACTGTTAAATAACTGTAAAATACATAATTAAAACTGAAATTACCTTGACACAAATTGATATTATATTTGGCAAATGCTGCACCTATAAAAACGGAGGAAGCATATTAGCAATAATCACTACACACTAAGGAAGCAGATGGCATAGTTGTTGCAGTTCAGGTTTAAAATGTCTAGAAGCTTAGGTTCGAATCTTGCACTATTTTCATAGCTCTATTTTCATTGGGAAAACACTTTATCTAAGGTTGCGTAGATATAATCTTCAGGTAGTGAAGAAAGTTTCACATTCTCTATGATTTTAAAACCGGGCACACTCACTGCTGCGTGGTATGACCGTTAGCTGACAGATTGGACTTCGCTCCCTGTGAGCGATAAACTACGCGACGCTGTCTGCTGATTGTTGGTGTCAGTCTGAATGGATCGTCATTAAAAACGATCTGTTGCCAGTGTGTTGTGGCAGTCATCAGCCGAATTACGTCGGCCGATGACTGTCAGGTGTAGCAGATGCCCAGCTTTAGAAACAGTAAATGGGGAACAAACAGCACTTTACACATTATTGAATTGTCATACTTACAAGCTTGTAAGAGTTCTGTTTGAATTTAGAGAAGTTGGCAATTCCCCTGGCAACATGTGCCAAGAGATCTTTCTGCTCCCCTGTCTGCATTAATAAGGTACACAGCCCATCCATACATTCTACCATTGTGCCCTGTATAAAAAATATATACATTATATATACATTATATATATATATATATATAGGAGCTTAGAAGTATCCATAGGGGGAAACTAAAACAATGAAGTGGTTAAAAACAGTACCATAAGGCGAATGTAGTGTCGCTAAGGGGAAACTAAAGCGACGTTAAGGGGAAATCATGTATATAGTTTATAGTATAGTTTATAAATCAGTTGTACTGAGGACAGGTCAAAATATTCATGTCGCAACATTAGTCAACAGATCTTTCTGCTCCTCTGTCTACATTAACAAGGTACACAAAACTTTGTATTAACTGGTAAGTGCATGAAGATGTTGTTTTATGGATTTTCAGTGTTTTTTTTTGTCTTTTATCTGGGAAAAAAGCAATATATTTATGTGTAAACTGTACAGTGATTAAGATTTTTTGTGGTAAATAGAAACTTTTTTATCTGGGAAAAAATTCATATATTTGTGCGTAAAAAAAAAAGTATTTGTTCTTACTTGATCTTGTTCAGAGGTTGCCAGGTTTGCGATAAGGCACGCAGCATTTGAGAGAACCTGCTTGTTCCTAGGCCTGTTCCTAATTGCTGTGACTAAACATCGCCCCGAGGAAAAATCCTCCTGAAAATTAAAAAAACAGCATGCGTAAGTTTACTAGGTTGATAAATAAACATTTATTTAGAATTAAAACAAAACAGTTATCATAATACTAAAATTGTATTATAATAAAATAGTAAATTATATGGAAATAGATCATTCGCTTGTTACTGGATACCAAGTTCACAAACCTGCACATTTTGTGCAGCTTCCTTTGCTCTCTGGGTATATCTAGTCATGCTGCTTTGATCACACACAACCCACAATTTAAATGCCACATCATCCTACCAGGCACCCATTTATACTCCTGGGTAGAAAGAGGCAAATGTAAATAAAGTGTCTTGCCCAATGACACAAGCAATGTGATGAGCCAAAGCTCCTGATCAGAAATCCAACACTGTACACCCTGAACCACACACTCCTACAAACTAAACAAACAATTATGTGTTTGTATTCACTGTATTTATACTCACCTGTATTATTCTGTGTCTGTGCCAATCTGAACCCATGGAGAGGCGGGCAAGGGTCTTTAAAGCTACCTCTTGCATCTACGAACAGAAAACAGGTAAATATGACAAAGAGATATCTTATAATACAATGCGATCTACTGTATGGTCTATCAAACTAAGCAAACATTATTTGATCAAACAATAATCTTATATGTGTCTATTACTATTTTAATATGGAGATTTAATGTGTCTCTTTTTGATGTTTATTGGCGCAAACTTTCATCCTTAACCTTATTATATACTTTATATACTCTTTACTTGTTTTCTTATTCATTATTTTATAGCCATAACAAAACTGTTATTAGATTGTAACTTTTTAGTTTCTCTTAAGCTTCTGTCTATATTTTGTAATATGTATCAATATATTGAAAAATTTGTAGGATCTCAATAATCTTTGAGTTTACAAACTCTGATCAAGACTTATTATATTATAAATGAAACAGATAATCAAAATAATATTTTCTACAAATTTATTTTTGCTAGCAACCTCACATAAATAATCTAAATCATAAGAGTTACACATCTGTAAATTTCTAAATCTCGATGTTAAAATATTTTTCTGTATTGTATTGTTTTGTATTTAATTACTTACTTGTTCATCTTTAGCTGTGGTCAATGAGAGAAGACGAGGGAGTGCATTACGGTCATTCTGAAAGCAAAAGTGAGTAAAATAATTTGTTTCAAATAAATACGAATATGTCAGGGGATCTGTCAATAGAGGGCAGCAAACACAATGTCATGTCTCATTATTATAGAGCCTAGGGTGGAAGTAGAGTTGCTTTAGTTGAGAGAATGAACTGAAATTCTTAGTATCGAGTCCACAACGTTATTGATGGAAGGCAAATATCACAGTCCTGGATCAATAATTATATTAATAATAATTTAATAGTTATGGACCCACCTCAATCAATGCTGCGTGGTTTCCCTGGTGTTCAGTGATAAGGTTAAGGGTCATCACAGCTAATAATGCAATGGCTTCTGAGACGTTCATACTGCATAGCGACAGCACTGGTTGCAATGCACCATTGGTAATGGCTGAGGATTCAAGGGCAAAATGTTTAACAGATGTTTTATAAGACCAGGGAACATAAGACATATCCTGCTGTGGTTAGTCTGAAAATATGACTTTATACTTGAAATATAATATTTCCTGAAAAATCAACATATGCCTTAGTAAAAACTGGTATACATATATCAATGATGCTAAGTTCCTAAAATGTAATATTATTATATGCATTATAGTACTATAACAATGATAATATTTTAAAAAAGAATAACAAAATAAACTTCTAATAATCATATTATAGTCACAGATATTTAAAATTCAAACAAAAATGATATAACAACAATAATATTAATGAAAATAATCTTTTATTAAAAGACACTAATAATCATTAATAAAAATAAATAATACTGTAAAGCCAAAATTAATGATCTGAATATGAACATTTTATTCCCTTTACATATGGACATTTTGCCTTCAAATCAGATATTGGCATACACAAATAATATTGATAATTACTAACAGTGAAATAGGCCTACTGTATTACTAAAACAATAATAATAATAAATAAAAAAAAGTAATGAAACAGTTGTTTTGATAACAGGAATAAACACATACTTTATCCCCTATTTCTACTGACCTTTGGCCTTTAAATATGGGGCCTTACAAAAGATCATCAGGGTGCTAATGCCGTCAATTATCAGCTGTTCCTGATTCTCATTGGCTGATGACAGTAAACTGCAAATAAATAAATATGTTTAGTCTTTTTATAATAAAAAAATGCCCTGTCCAGTGATATGTGGTTTCAATGAATAGTATAGCAACAGTGAGGGCAATTTTTTTTACTAGTTAAACATTTTCTCTGTTCTACTTGTTACTGTGTTGCAAATAATATAAATTGATATGTTTATCATTATTAGACTGAATTAAATTTTGTCTGTATTTACAATACAATAATATACTGAAAGAACTTATGAGTAATGTTCCCTAGTTTTGTAGAGACATTTCATCTCTTTCTTTAATATTTCTTTTGAAAGAATGAAGAACTCAATGATCCAACTATACTTTCAGAAAGTAAACAAAAATTAAATTTTAAAAAATCAATAAATTAATATACAATAAATATTATAAGGCCAAAGAAGTTGAGTACTGGCACATTCAATGAAACACACTGGGATTGAAAAAAACAAGCAACATATGCACCAAGTTCAGCTAGCTATATTCTCCACTGCGCCCACCAGGCTACCCCTGTAGCGTTCACACTATTAATTTACCTACAAACAGCTTTTATAGCGCCTGAATCTGCGAGCATCTTGTGAAGAGGTTGGTGAGTGGCTAGGAGATGCAGACTTCTTGCACACGCAAGCCGCACCTTCTCATCTGATAGTCTGGATAGGAATATCAATGTTTGGACTCCCCCAAGTTCAACGACTTTACAAAGACCTGACGGACTGCGGATCTCCTCTGATAACGTAATGGCGGCCTCCTGTTGGAAGGACTGTGGAAGAAAATGAGATGTATCAGTGTTGATGGATGACAAATGGCAAGGGTCCGAAGTTGGAAGAGGCCAATTTTGCATCTGCGCGAGTCTCGCGCATAAGCATCCACTTTTTACTTCTCACGCTCACGATATATTTATGAAAGATAAAATTAAAATGTGAAATAATTATTTTTATTAAAATGTGAATAAGACACATATACGCTTCTTTTAACGAAGCTATACCGAACGACGACTGTAGTCAGTAGCAGTATCCACCACAATTTTTTTAAAAGTAACATAGAGGGTGCTTTATTTTGTGATTTTTGCATAGAGGGCGCTATATACATATTATATTTTTGTCTCATGCATTTTGCTGCATGTGGTGGACCCATAATCGGCTGACTTCTGGAATAATTGATAATTAATACAGTTTATAAAAAACTTGAAGTATCATGTTCATGAGATAGGTTAGATTCCATGAGCTTTTTCTCACTCGCAAAAGTGTGTGAGCTGTCCCAATTTCTGGGAGATTCCTGTGAACCTTGGGAAAAGTGGAATAAGTAATTTATTAATCTCTTATTCTCTTATCATGTTTCATAACATTTCCAATTTTCAAGTGAATAATTTGTTAAGTAAAGAATGTAGGTCAGATATTTACAGCTTTACGAGATCTTGACTTTGTTACAAGTTCTGTTATAGGTAGGCAATAGTCACAAACTCTCTCTGGTTCTTCAAATCCAAGCTGTGGTAAAGGCACCTTTTCCTTACAACATTTACTGCAAAGCACACGCCCACATTGACGGCAATGGTGCTTGCGTCGGAGCTGGTTGAACTTGTTTTGGCAGACAAGACATATGACTGCTTCGTCATCAGATACCCACCTGTTAAAGGACGTGAACAGAAATCATTATTAACTTGTAATTACAATAAAATAGACCTTGAGCCTATGGCCTAGATTAGCCAAAGGTACAGCCTGAATGAAATAATTAAGTTAGGCTCTTGAAGAAAAAACAATTTTTGAAGTTGTATGAATGATTTTTCTACAACAAAAAAAATATTTGACGAAAAACTTGGGAACGGTTAATGAGATACAGATTTTTAAATAATTAAAATCTGGGGGGGGGAAAAAGGTAAAAAATAGGACAGTTACGCCCCTTTTTCCCCCAGATTTTAAATATTCAAAAATCTGTATCTCATTAAGCATTCCCGAGTTTTTGTCAAATATGCTTTTTGTTGTACAACATAGGCCTAGGCCTATTAACATTTTTTTCTTTTTTCTAGAGCATGGCTTTAAAATATTTATTGGAAACATTATACAGCAGCCCATAGAACAAGAAATACTACAGTGACGCTGGCGATGGCTAGGACACACCCTCCGAAAACTGACCCAAAACATCACAAGGTCAGCACTTTGCTGGCACCTCCAGAGCAAAAGGAAACAGGGGCCTTCCAAGAAATACTTGGCGATGGGACTAGAAGTTGATGTCCTGAGGTTGGGTTATACCTGGAGGGAAGTGGAGAGACTGGCACAGGACTGGTCTGGTTGGAGAAATCTTGTTGGTGGCCTATGTCCCAGGAAGGACGATAGGCATAAGTAAGTTATACAGAATATATATCTTTGTAACCATAGGGGCTAGGCGTACAGTAGGATAGGCTACGCTTAGGTTAATATCAAACAGTAGGCCGCCCAGTAGGCCTACTACTGCAAACATGGTGAGAAAGGGTCACAAATACGCCTTTTCTACGAATCGGTAGACATCTTGAAGTGATGACAAACAACCCAAGTCAGAGGTGCGTAAACAACAGATAAGATATGATTGAAAAAAAATTGAAAAAAATGTTTTTGACCCCTGAAATCAAGATGGTAAAAAAAAGAGCTTTACACCATATACCTAGCCCTAGTGGAGTAGAATAATCTTTTGAGAACATTTTCCAGAAAAATATAATGTGATATGACCCTCCGTTATAGAGTTATGAATTTTTAGATAACATGAGGACAAATATTTAGCCTCAAAGCTTATCTTATTCTTATTTTTATTGGGGAGCTAATGAACTTTAGTACTCCACCCTAACCCTAACCTTAACAACATAGCAATACTGCAGCTGAGGTTAAGGTTAGGGTTAGGGTGGAGTACTAAAGTGCATTACATTAGCGCCTTTGTTGGTTACGCACCACTGACTTTGGTTGTTTCGATTCGTGGAAAAGGCGTATACCGTTCTTCCTGGATTTCGGCCTTGGCTGGGCTGCCTGGCCGGCCGAGCCTGGGTGCTTATTAGAGAAGTGCAGCTAGGCCTAGCCTAGCCCTACGGCCAAGTCTAAGGTTTGCCATTGCTAAACTCACCGAGATTTCGCTAAAAGAAATGGTTGATCATGAAATACATCGCTGTTTCCCTCTGCCTGGGCGGGAATTACCTCACCACCCTCCAGCCGTATTTTAGAAGACATACTTGACTTCGAAAAGGATAAAAACAAAACTTTGACGAGACACCCTCGCTACGCCTCTCTTGTTGGTCAAACGCCCTCTATTGGACGACGTTAACAAGTATAGACCTATCCAAAAGAACATTTTTGAGTGTCGCCCTCTATTGTCGGCGCCATTACTGGGGTGGCATTTGCGAAGTTGGGGATACCGCGAAGTTTAGAGATGCAATGCGGAGTTTAGTTTTCAATGCAGTTGTTGCTGAGAACAACAGGGTTTTTTTCAACAGTAGCAGCTGCATAATTATTTCGATAGCTCCTGCTATCTTTATCAACGTTGATAAAGATAGCAGGAGCTATCGAAAAATCCGATTGATTTTTTATATTTTAATCAATATGTGTTCCGCAAGTAAAACAAGTAAATGTAGACATTGATACGATAAAAAAAATCATACACAATTGACAATACAGGCACTCCTGACTCTAAAGACATTCTTGACTGTAGGACGTGGATTTGGTTAGCTACAAAATGGTTTTTACAGGCCTACAATCATTTGACTATAACACCAAAGCATCGCTTTTAAGCAATGAATTCAACTGTAATTCTACTCTAAATATAACGACAGATTTCATAAACTTTAATTAGCAACAATACTAGTACAGCATAACCGAAATACATTATTTTGATAATAAATCATTATAGGCCTAATGTTATTAAGGAACGAGATGCGACGGGATAGCATATTCGAACAGGTCAGAAGGCCAGTGGTTGGCAAGCTACAAAAGTGCATACGGAAGTGACTAAGGGCAATTGCGTATATTTGTCATTCCGTTACGAATCTTGGTACATTAAGACTTCTATATATTATTAGGCTATCTAACTACAAACCAAAGCAAGCACAAGGTAAGTAGGCCTATACTATCGTTAATATTATTATCTACTGTTTTTGTAAATGTTGTTTGAATTAATGCTGTAAAATCGTTTACACATTTTGACGACTATTAATAATAGGCCTAGTTACTTTTGTCACTAGAAAAGTTCAGATATCATTTGCCCGAGTTGCTAGTTTCAAACAAATAGTGCAATATAGGCCTACGTTTAGGTTAATCTCTTCTTGGTTAAAATTCTATGGCCTACTGAAGACAGCCCACGTAGCATAAAATGTCCCTAAAAGTGCTGTGCCCAAGAAAGAGGACACGTCTAAATTTATGTCTATAGAAAAAAACAATTATGTGTTCATGTTGATCAATCATTTTTTTTGTAGATTCTAAAATCTGCTGTCGATGTTTACATAAGCATTGGATTGGAGAAGAAGACATTAAAATATATACCATAATGGACCGAAGTCGGACTCCTAGCAATAGCAGTGTGGAGGTTGACGGAATAAATGCTTCAAGTTTTCGACCGACTACAATTAAAGAAGCAGGCTATGGGGGATTTGGAGCGGACTGTCCTCGAATTGATCAGAACACACACTCAATAGCAGCTGACATGGGCCTAGGCCAAGGAAGCTCAGAAATCACTCAACCGTCGGTAAATGAAATCGAAGCTGGATTTGGCAACATGAAAGTAATAGAGCCAAGACGACGTAACGGAGATTCTATGAATGAAATAGTGCAATTACAAAGTGTTCTTCCTAAATTTCAAACAAGAAATTACCCCCAGGAACACTCCGGACGTAATAATCGAATGCAGAGTGAACAGATAATGCAATACGAGCAAATACATAATTAATATACATTTATTTCTCATCTTTGGATGTTACAAGGTTACGATGCTCAGTATTAACATTTTAATATAATACCAAATGCTTTCTTTAATCTTATATATATTTTAATGAACGTTAATAAAAAGATTCTTAACAATTACCGTAATGATTGGAATAATTAAAGTTCAATGAGATGCTTTATTGGTTCGCTTGACATTGCATTCATCATGTGATTTGAGGTTAAATTAATCAGAAACCAATGTTTGGTAGTAAGACCATGGAGGTATAAGCAATATTTTTTTTATGTTTATTATTTATTTCTTTCACTCCATGGTATGACTTAGGCTAAAAAAGAACAAGAATTGCAAAACAAGCGTTAAATAACGGAGCAAAATGCATGAGGATATTTAGCAGTCACCAAAACATGTTAATTGTATCAATTATATTTCTGGTATTGATTGATCAATATAAATGTAAATACAATAAATCTTGTATAATGAATATTTTATCATGATTTATTCTAATTTGGTATATTATCCTTTTACACCTAGGCCTATTATTTAGATTAATACTCTGCTATTGAAAAAAGGGAATACTGAGGGCGCTATATTTCACAAATCCAGGAATACCATTGGGATGAGAGAGGGGATGTGTGGGAGGGCAAAAATGGACCAACTGAGGTACAATATTTTAATGTTTATATAAATCTATAAAAGGTCTAGTCCATTTGAAAACGAAGATTTTATAAAATACTTTAATGGATACCATTTTGTAAAACAGAAAAGTCTTTTAATTTATCCAAACCCAGGTTGAGTTTGGAGAGTAAACAATCAATCACCTCTCTATAGTCATACATACTGATGATTCAACATATTCAAAACAATAATAAACTATTAAAATGGCAATTACAAATGCATTATTTAAATAAGGGGTTATTCACACCACGTGTACGTGTGACAGCTGGTGCCAGCAAAAAAACCAAGAACCGACCTTTGTATTAGTCACTCTGCGTATTTATCACATCAAAGCCTAAAATTCTAATGTAAAAATTAAGACTTGCTTCTTGTGATGGGAACGGAATTTTGAAGCTCAATTTTCTGGTACTGGTATCTATGTATGTTATAGCGGCTATTGTTCTAAACTAATGGTTTGCATTCCGAAAATAATCGGTAGCCAAGACTTTTTTTTCCATAATAGTAATAGTACTGGCACATTTTGAAAAGCAGTACAGTCCACAGTGTGCGATATCTTATGCAGAAACGAAGGATAGTTAATAACAGCACCCATGATCAAAGTTGTACCGGTAAGTTTCTAAAAACAATATTCTATTCTAGTTACTTTATAAATACAGTGAACTGCACGTAGGTCTATATAGGCGCAATTCTGGTTCTAGTGGTACAGCCGACCTTTTAAGGACTCCAAAAGTGAATTAGATCAGAGACAATGTCTTATTTATTTATTCATTTTCCAGTAGGTGCATAACACATAGCAGATACAATTTCAAAAAGCACACACACTATTTTAAGTATGTTCTCTTGTGTTTAAGATAATTTGAACTTAGATTCGTAGGAAGACAAACACATACACTACACCCTGGTTAAGTTATCTATATATATACCATACCTTAAAACCTAGAATAGATTCCCTGGGTGGGCTTATTTTTGAGACGGGCCCATGGCTGTCTCTTATACACATCTAGATGTGTATAAGAGACAGGAGTAGCCCATCGCTGCTCTCAATGTGTTTCAGCTGGAGGGCTGAAATTCAAGTTAAGACAGCACACTGTCTTTCGGATGAGCCGTTCAAGCTTTAAGCCGTTGGTCCCATGTGTATGGCCCATCATCTGGACGTCAAAGAACGTAATACACTCTTCAGAAAAGCAGACCTGTCAAGGGGCTCACACTGGCTTGCTTTAGATTTCTTCTGGATTTATGCGTGAGATCACAAACTAATAAGGAAAATACAGTCAAGTATCGATACAACATATACTTTTACAGTGAATACATTGATACAAAGTTTTGAGAAAGTAGCACATTAAAAAATTATAATTTGAAGAAATTCTGGAATGTGCGGGAATATATAGGCTTCGCGTGAGGGCGTGAGGTCGAAGTTAAATGCGAGAGATGCGTGAGATTTGACAGGTCTGGAAAAGAGTAGAGGAGATTGCCTCCCGGCGTACTGCCCAATTCACCAACAGAAGGACCCCACTGGAAATAAGTCTTCGGACTTAGTGGGCTATCCTTGGTGTTCACACCGAATAAATGCAATAGTGGGTTATCCTTGGTGGGATTCACACCGAAAATACTCCTATCTTAACGATTGTAAACAAATTGAGATACATCGCTTCTAGCAGTATTGTTTTTAATAATAATTGTTTTTGATTTCAGTAAACAAAGACTTGCACTGAATATTCACAATGAAGTTGGCTTACATACGGACACCACTCTTCTGAGCTACCGTAATATTTCAATGTCTGTATTCTGATTGGATTTCCTGGTAATATATGTTTTTTGAAGAATTACTTTGAAATAAAGAGTTACGAATCTTCAGTGAATGACACTAACTAAAGCATTAATGTTGATACGACACCGTCTTGTGTATTGACGAAAGCACTAGCGAAGTTTGAACTCGACGATTCCAGTAGCTACTATTCAACGATTGTCTTTAATAAATATCATATAAATAAATGTATGATTCGACAACACTTTTAAAGCAACAGTAACTACAAACATCCGTTACTTGAGATATGTGAAAATGGCAGATTCTGTGTCGAGTTCACCGGCTGAAAAATCTCCAATTCTGCCGCCCTACGACTACACGTCAACGGAAAGGGACCTAAACCTCAAGAAGTATGATATACGACCAGTTGAGCCTCCACCGCCGTATTTTTCAGACGAGGTAGTTGCGTCACAACCACGATCGCAGTATCGAAATCTAAGGGGTGAGAGTATCTCTTCCCAAGATAACGATGGATGTTGCCCTGTAAGGGACAGTGGTTGGTGTGGTGCTGTAGGGCTTTCAGTCGCCTGTGCTACTTGTGTGTTTTGCCAGCTTTAAAGCAAAACTTGAAAGGCCAAGGAAGTCTGAAAATCTAACATAGGTTTAATACACAATATAAATAGGCCTACTGTATGCATTTTTTATACTTGAATATATTTTTGGTGTAGTTTGCTTGCAGTATATTGAATAAAATAACATTTGTTAATTTTTTAACAGATGAATCAACCTCCTAAAACCAAAGATTTGTATTCCAATAGCTCCAGAACTTAACTAAATCGTAAAACCTCGAATAGGAGCCCTGGGCTTCTTTTTAAGGACCTGTTGAACAGGCTTCTTTTGGAGATGGTTTCATTTCGAGGTTAATTTTGCAAACTAAAGAGGGGACTTCTGTTCAAATTTTAATATTTGTAATTGAAACTATAAAACCGTATAGGACTGCTGAAGACAATTTTTAACAATGAAATTCAAAATTCTGTTTATATTTTTGAAAACTCACAAAAAATAAAAACATTTTTTTCAATTAGGTCTATAAAGATGATCACAATATACCGCCGACAATTCCCAAAACTACTAAATATATACATTATAAATCATATAATAACATTTCTGATATGATTATTTCCATAAAACAACAAATTTAGACCTGACATTTATTCAACGTGTGTATATTTTTAATGTATATTAATTATATCATTAAGATTGCTTAAATTTATAGGCCTAGCCGGTGGTGACTTCAACCCAACCATGCTAAAAAGATACTATTCTCCATTAAATACATGCATGAAATCCTGTTGACCAAATCAATTTGGTTTCAATTTTCTAACCATGCTATACTGATAGTATACTGATATCTACACGCTATTAGAATCATCAAACATGACGTCAGTTGGAATGAAAAAGAGGCCCATTAGCTTGATTAGAAGCCCATGGGATTCTTTTCAAGAGGAGCTTCTTTTCGAGATTACTTTTGCAAACTAAAGTTGGGGGTTTGTTTTCGAGATAGTCCTCTTCTCGAGATTATACCCTTTGGGCTTCTTTTCAAGGTTTTAATGTATAATAGCGCTCGGCCATTTGAGATAGATACCGGATCTGCAATTATACAAAAAAAAAAAAAAATATGATAATGAGTTTTAGTATTCAGGACCATTTAAAATTTTAAGAGCTACCTTGACAAGTTTTACTTTTCAACCATAAGGCCGAGGGTTTTGGCTCAGTGCATTTCGCTTTGTCCGTGGGCAAGCCCATATAAGTACATAAAATTGCCTCTTGTAGACTTAGATAGCATAGTAAGCCTATCGCTTCAGTTCTATTAAATTTAATTTAATATTATTTCGTTGCTTTGAATGCCATCAAGATCTTGTAGAAACAAGAGTGGCCGCTCCGGTCCGCGTGTTAAACTAAGCTGCCTCTATTCAGCCTTTAAACGCTTCGTGTATACACCTTTCAGACGAGGCTTTTTGTCGACACTATTAAAACATGCTTAAATCATGGAGGAAATATCCTCTATGTTTAAACCCTGATTTTTAACTGGAAGCCCCAAGCTTTTTTGCGTCATGCTTCATTTCAGCATCATGTGATACTGCAGTTAAATGAGCGCTACATGCCATGTCATGCGTTTTACATTGGATCAAACACACTAGCATATGAAATACTGTCATGCTCAGCTTAATGGGGGTTGCAGCTCGAACCCTAAGCGGTGCATTTACGTCTAAATCTACAGTCAGTTTCAGATACAAAGTTTTTTGCCATGGTGGCTGGAGTGGAGCAAGTTTTCCACCCACTGGATCAGCCACTGACAAAAGTGTCTCCCTGAAATCAAAATTCAATATTCTAATGTAAAGTGAAAATGTTTTTAATGTATATAATTTTAGATACACTCATTTTATGTAGTTAACAATGATTTAAATATTGGCCTATTTATATTTATGTACAATTGCTTAAGCCTCCATCGAGAGCCATTATTTGTGAATTAGTTTACTTTTTGGCAATTATGATGTCCTGGCCGGCGGTATTTTGTATATTAAATTCATAAGGACTAATTAAATAAAATGTAATCAATAATTTGAATATTTTATTTTCTTCTTGATTACCATCACTCCCGCTTTTTCCCCACAACAATAGTCGGAATCTGCACATGGCCTGAGCAAAGATAACACATAGGATAGGCCTAACATGTCTCAATTTTATTGTTTCGTGAGATAATAGTACCTGCTAAAGTAACCAACTAAGCCTACTATAAAAACATCGTATATTCAAACCACACGTATTAAAACGCCAGTTTTTATGGTTTCTAACAACCTTTGACACTATTGTTACATATCCAGTTATGTTCTACGTGGATGCTGTTAAATTAATAAAAGTTATTTCAATGTGGTTTGGCATCAGAATTTCAAATCACCTAGAAGTGATGATTTGCCAAAGGCCTATCTGACATGGTACTGAATACCGTCCGTTCCCAAATGCTTGTAAAAAAAATATCGCAAGTGATTCGGGTGGGAATAGAACACACGACCTCCTGATAACTACCCTAGTGCAATAACCACTAGAACTGAGCTTGCACTGTGTAGTTTTGTATAGTTTTGAATTTGATTCCCAAGTGGCAGTTGGTACTACAATGCTGGTTTGATGTTGATTTTTTTTTTTTTTTGGGAACGTACATTATTTAGTATCGATAACACGCCAGGTAGGTAAAAACATCACTTCTATTAATAAAAGTTAACCAATATTGGCAAAACGTAATCAAATTTGTAAGAAAACCTTGAATCTAAAATAAATTTCGTATGCGACTTAATTCCTTTTACAAGCGATATGATTTTGGGTCACAATATTTCCAGTAAAATGCATTCAGAGATCTTTGTTGTTGGATCAATACTTGCCGCATACGGCTAATCAATATGCAAGGTGATCCACACGCCTTTATACTTGAAGACTACGTAGTTTGCATTAAAGAAATTAGCATGGTTCGCAAAACCGGTAGGCCTAGTTACATTGTAATAATAACAATTTAGGCAGAGACGGATGGTTGATACATAAGGCTAGACGATGAGTTGGATACTGAGATGAGGTTTACGAAGCCCATGGAGACTTGACGGGCGATGGCTCGTCGCAAGATGCCTAGGCCTTCTGTTCTCTGAGCACTGCAAAGAAAGCCATATATTTTCTTGCAAAAGCAACAACGATTGTAACAATAATAGTTTCCAGAACGGAAGTATTTAATCGACAGATACTTAGAATATAGTATACAACACAAGGTAACGTAACACTACTGATGCATGTACTAAAGAGTTTAAAGGGGCTATTTGGTGGCGGGCATCTTAACAAGCTTAAATATACCGGATTATTGTAGAGATAATGTAATATTTGCCTAAAATGTACATGATAGTCATACACGCATTATAAAAATATATGTATATTTTATAGACATACAATTTGAAATTTTACAATATAATACTGTATTTATATAATATTATATAAATGTTGGGCATAATATATATATATAAACATAATTACATATAATGTATTCAATGATGTATCATACTTATAATATATTAGACCTAGGCCTATATATACTATTCACATAAGTATATAAATTTAATATCAAAATATGCCGATATGACAGGATGTATTTTGTTGTCCATCTAAACGTTTTCCGCATACTTATGTATGTATAATGTACGATATTTTCTTGCAACAAATGACACCGGCGTGGGGAGTATTTCTTAATGTTGAATATGCATACATTTTGAGCACTTAATAAT